AAAAAAAAATGTTTCTAAAATTTTAATATATTAATATAAGTAATTTATTTTTTGCGTATACATTTATAATATCGAAAAAATATTAGTATTTGGTGTAATTAGTTTTAAAAATTAAAAATAAATGCAGCATAATTTATAATTAACGTTAAAGATAGAAAAAAACTTTTACCAATTATTTAATTATAATTTTGAATACAATTTCAAATATACATTTCATATACTGTTATTTTGTTACTGGATACATAAAAGTTAATAATATAAAGTAGCTCCTTGGTAATTTAAAAATTTTTTTAAAGCATTCAACAATTTATTACCATAATGTAATAGGAACTTTTGTACCAATTTATTTCTAATTCAATTTTTGTGATTCAATTTTTAATATTACTTCCAAATTTTCATCTCTTATATTAATTGAATAGTATTATTGAATTTCGAGAACATATGATAAAAAAATCTTTAGTATAAATATCACCATGGAGTGGCATTAGTATTAACCATACCATTTTTAAAATGAAATAATACTAACACGTTTAAAATATTAAAAATATATTGTATATTTGAAATATGTTGTTCGCATTTTAATATTTGTTTTGTTTTGGTATTTAGTAGCAGAATAAGCCTTAACGCATTTAAATGTTACAATCGATAAATTTATAAGCATAAAGTGAAATAAATTACGATAATTGATAATTTACATGAACGAGTCTTTCCCGATTTATTACAGTGGTGCAATACAGCTTAAAGATTTAATTTTTATATGGATATTTGAAACACAGAAATCAAATCTTTAATGAAATCTACAAAAATGTTGTACAGATCGCCGGTAAAACAAATACTCGATACAATCGAGCAACTTCAACGTCAGCGCTCGAAAAACGATGATAGAATCCACTCGTATGTACTAACGATACATCTAATAATCGAGATAGCATATCATTTGACAACTAAACCAATGCGACATACTTTCTGGTCCATTTTCTCTCTCTTTAACATTGAGTTATGAAGTCTGTTCATTAACAAAGACTTTTGTCGGCCTGGCAGATGCCCTCGGCAGGGGCAAGGAAAAGTCGCCCATTAGCACAAGCACAAAGCTGATAAACGGCAATGCCTTCCGACTTGTTGGTATTACCCTGGCGCTTTCCCGATGATTTGGTCGAGCTGCCGTGTTCTGGGAGAAGAGCCGTCCTGAGACCTTTAAGAAAGACTCTACGCGATTCAATTGTCACTGCTCCATCACGGCTTGTGAGTTTCATATGTGATAGGCAGGTGGCGCTGATTTCGCCGGCTGACGACTCGACGTTTATTCCGTGTGGCGCTCTCACTTCTAGCGAACGCGTTGCTGACTCTAATCTGAAATGAGAAATAGCCGAGTCCCTATATTTATTGGCGATGGGCATTTGTAAGCTTCGATCTCTTTATTCAACTTTTGCAATATATTATGCAGACAATATTTTTATTTTTGATGTGGTTTGCAGACAAAAATCCTGAAAAAAAGCTGAATTTTAAATGATAACTTAAATTTTCTTAATTTTGACATTAGAAGTGGCATTGCGATTATTTTGGTTTCATGGTCTCTTTAATTTAAACAATAATGAGCAAAAATATAATGAAAAATATCATTATCAATTTATTGATCGTTCCCCGTTTTAGATTTCCTATAATTTTAAATGCTGTGACATGTCGTGTTCTGCTAATTAACTACCAGCCACGAATTTTTTTTTCTGTGGGTTAATTAGAATATATTATTGTTATAAAATATTAAATTATTGTAGAATTAGTATGGTCTTGGAATAAATAAAAATTTGATATGTGACTGTAATTTTTATGAAAAAATTTTGAGAACAATTTTGTAAACTACTTTGTTTAATTTTTTATTTCATATTTAAATATAATTATACATTCATACATACATACATTTTATTGAATATTTACTCGAAATTTGTACAGAGTACTTTAAATTAAATTTTTATTATTGTGGATGTCGTTTATTTCATTCATATATAGTTTGAATCATATGTTGACGAATAGCCAAAAGCTTCTGAAATATATGTTGATCGTAATATAATTTATTATTAATTACTGTTTTGCACACAATTTGGTTATTTGGTTTTCATTTTTTTGCTTTATAAATCCGAATAAATAATGTGTATAGAAATTTTTTGCGTATGTATTTAAGTATTATATTATATTTCTTAGTTTATTTATAATTTTATTCTGCAAATAAATTTTAAAATCTTTATAAATGTAAATTGTTTGTATTTTATCTACCTATCTAATGAGCTTATTTTACATATATACTCTTACATACACACATATATATAATTATATATATATATATATATATATATATATATA